TTCGTCCTTTATTATTTCGTTTGAGTTTTGTTTCTGTTACACACTAAGTCCTACCACCTTGAGAGCAGTGGTAGAAAGTCACCTGATCTTAATGACAGAAGGAGGAATTTGACCGCCTGAGAAAACTCAACTGTCTGTAGCTTTCCCTAGAGCAGTAGCCTTAAACAGCACCGCAGTATGTCCTGGGTCCTTCATCCTTCACCTGGCGACACCCCAGACAGCAGTAAATGAGCATTAGTGACCCTACAGGTAGGTCACGGTCGTGTATGCTATATTTCCGATGCAGAAGCTCATGTAATGGCTGCCATAGCTGTTTCTGTCACCCCTGTTTCTTGGGTTTTACTAGCAATGACAGCCATTTACGGAGTTAGAGGTAGTTTATTTTATCATCTGATTTAACCCCTGCAACAGCCTTTCGACGAAAAGACTCCCGAGCTCTACGATTGGAAAGAGTACCTGAGTGATGTCTGGATCTCGGTGCTTGAAGCTAGTCAGTCGCAAGGGTAACGCAGGCGTGCAGGAGAACAGTCCACTCGCCATGGTTATCCTGAGCCACTCGTCATAATTGTTCCTGTGCCGTTTTACAGACATCCCTGGTCTCCATGGTTATCCTGAGCCACTCATCATAATTGTTCCTGTGCCGTTTTACAGACATCCCTGGTCTTACAGGGCAAAGAGCTTGGAGATACAAAGGTGGAACCCATGGCAGGAGGTAATGAGGACCACACCGTGCTACCCCAAACCCCAGCTGTCTTCTAGCAACATCGGGAATGTTTTAGAAATGGGGGATTCCAGATTCCATATCAGAAGTTTGAGGATACTTCCAGCCCAGCCAGGATGCTTGTCTAGCATGGTGCTGCTCTCATGGGGATCCCCCAGCCGGCCGATTTACCTGGGAACAACCTGAAGGCAATACAAACTCTGGAGCCCACGCAGACCTGCAGATTCGGACCCTCTGGGGGTCTCAGGGGATGCTAATGAATGGGAAGGTTTGAAGATTCCGATTGGAAGATCTTGCAATCCTCACACTTAGGCTCACCTGAGAAAGAGGAGTCAAAAGCGACACCCTGTGGAGCAAAATGAAGTTTGCCATCCGTGGCATCACCTCCTTTGTGAGATTCCCTGCCTTGGTGGAATAAAACATCTGTTTTCTTAGTTCTTTCTATTAAAAATACAAAGCTACCTCCCACCCAGGCCCAACGAATTAGCTGCTTTGGGGTCTGTGTCAATGTGGGCCATGAAGACTAGATTCTTTAAGCCAGCACACACTTAAGCATTTATCTAGGTCCAGGTGTTAAAGGTTTGTGATAGAGGAGCCATAGATACAAAAGTGAAGCTGGCTCCCAGGGATACCGAGTAAGTTTGATTGTAACAGAATTGGCTGTTGTTGGATGTGAGCTGTCTAACGGATAACCATATATGAACTTCTTTTTTTTTTTTTTCTTCCGAGACAGGGTTTCTCCGTAGCTTTTGGTTCCTGTCCTGGAACTAGCTCTTGTAGACCAGGCTGGCCTCAAACTCACAGAGATCCGCCTGCCTCTGCCTCCCAAGTGCTGGGATCAAAGGCGTGCGCCACCACCGCCCAGCCCCATATAGGAACTTCTTAAAGCAATCCCCAAGGACAATTATTAAAAGCCACTCTGGGGCTGGGGGCATGGCTCAGGCAGTCAAGTGTCCTCAGTGAGGACCTGGATGTGGATCTCCAGAGCTTATGTTGGAAGAAAGGGAGGGAGGGAGGGAGGGAGGGAGGGAGGGAGGGAGGGAGGGAGGACTAGGTGAATGTGCCGGTCAGCTCCGGAGGAATAACACTGGAGATGGAGAATGACCTCTGGCTTCCACAAGCACATATGTGAACACCCACCTGCACAAGCATATGCATGCACATGAACATGATCCCACATACACACGAAAACTTCAGTCACTTTAACTATAAAGATGTTTCAGTGGGGGAGCTAGACACTATAGAATTCCAGAGACCCACACCTGAGAGAGTGGCATGTTTAACAAAAGCAGATTTCGCACACACTGGGAACTGTGGCACTACCAGATACTCTGCCTCCACAGCTACTGCTCCTTAACTGATTATAGCCCCTGTCCTGAATTGTCTAGGCACCAAAGATTTGTGTAGAGAGCTGTATGGACAGGATCAGGTAGTCTTTTAAAGACACTTTTGTGTTGGTAGAAAGAAAGGATTTGAAGAAGCTCTTGGTGGTAAAGGTTGATGATATTACTGGAAATAAAATAAAAAACAAAGATACCACACTGGTCCATATTCAGTCCCTAAGTGACTTGCTCATGGTAGAGAGTCTCAAGTTCTTCTTTCAGGAGAATTCAGTTTTTACAGTCCCATAGAATCTGAGCTAGACATCTTAAGCTGGTTATAATGGCCTAGGAAATTTTTAGAGATAAAATAGGGTCAGAATGAACACCTTCAAAGACTTTAGGTATTATTCAGACCGTTTCCGCTAGGCAGATTCTGAGTTCTCTGCCATTTTCAGTTTGTGAACTGTCACTTTAAAACTTGCAGCTTTTGCCTTTCCAACCTAAAAACCCACAGCTATTTTTGCCTTGGTTATGCAAGCCGTGTTGTGCCCCCTGGTGGCAATCTGGGTTGGAAGATGAGAAGTATATTTCAATCAGAGGAGTGCCGACTTAATTGAAAAAGGTGGCAGGCCTGAATTTGAAATGGAATTTCATATCAAACTTTTCTGCTCTTACTAAAAATAGGAAACATCCCGTTAAAACTAAAACCCGATGTATTAACTTCAGCCTGAGAGGTGCATATTTCAACTCCCCTGGCTTTGTCACAAAATGGATTAGCTTCTTGAAATATGTCAGTTCAATGTGAAATTAGACATTTGCTCTCCGTCCAGCTAAGGAGCTGAGCACAGAGGAGTGCACAGCCTTTCCTTTGCCATCAGGGCAGCACGCGCCACAGACACGTGACATCACCTGCTTTGTCAGGGTATGAAACTCCCGGGCTACACACCAGTTTTCAAGATGGCTCGAGGAAAATCTCTAAATTTTAGAATTTATTCTTCAATCAGTAAAGCCAAATGGATTTGAGTAGATTGTGATGAGGGCCTTTGATTAAATTATAACTGTCTGGGGGCAAAAAGGGATGATTAAAGACAGTCACTAGAAAATGTATTTGGTAGGAAAAATTCGTCAGAGTGCTTCAGTGGCTGTATCATTTGGTCACACATACACAAACGGTTTCTGCCTTAAGTAAACACTCAAGTGATGAGCAAGTATATCACACACACACAAACGGTTTCTTCTTTAAGTAAACACTCAAGTAATGAGCAAGTACATCACACACACAGACACACACACACACACACACACACACACACTTGTGGTTTCTTCCTTAAGTAAACACTCCTGTAATGAGCAAGTACATAAATGGTATAAGCTAAATTTTAAATGTTGAACAGAAGCCACAAGCCTCCAGAAAAGGCTTGTAAAAAATGTGTCTAAGACACTATTTAAAACAACACAAATTTTAGAGAAAATAGAAAAAATTGAAAGCCACAAAACCCAAAGTGGGCCAGTGAGACAGCTTAGCAGAGTGGATGGCCACCAAGCCTGATGACCAGAGCTCACTTCCTTGGTCTCACACGGTGGGAGGAAAGATCAACTCCAGCAAGTTGTCCTTCACATGTGCACTGTGGTACATACATGACCACCCTCCACATACAGGGGAATGGACTAGAGCCCTTACTGCTTTTATGAAGTTTAGTTCCCAGCACCCATACTGGCAGTTCCAGTTCCCGAGTATCAGAAACCTCTGACCTCAAATGCACATATTGACGTCATTAAAAATAATAAAAATAATTTATCTAATTCTTAAAAAGTATTATGCCTGAGTTTGGACTAAGGCTGGAAGATGAATGCTTTCCAACAGAACCAAGTCAAGCTGCAATAAACCGTGGGAAGAAGTATGCAGCTCATGGAAGTGTAGTGGACTCAGTGAACTGGAGGGGGTCCAGCATTGCCCGAGGACAGCTTAACAGTTCTGCTTATGACATAGTTTGATCCCAAAGCCTTAGTAGTCATTTTGGAATGTGTGTTTAAGAAAAATCACATCAACCAAAAGAATCCCTTCATTTTGCTTTTGAATATCAATTATTAAACATCTTGCCTAATGGATACTATAGAATTTCTCAAAACTGTATTAGATTAAGTATTTCTACCTTTGTTTTATGTCCTATTATTTTTAGTACATATTTTCTAAGGCAGTATCTTGCTGCACAGGCTAGTTCGGGCCCATATTTGTGATTTTCCTATCTTGGCTCCCTGAGTGACGGGATGCTAGGTGTGTGCCACCATGCCGAGATGATAAGTGGTTTTAAAACAGCAAGCACCTTACCCAGCTTGGTAAGGACAAAGCACTGGAACGAAGGCAGCAGCTGAATGCTGAATGTATGAACTACTCTGAGCTAGCAGTTCGCACTTGTGAGTGCCTGCTAGCAAGGGTCACTGTTTTTCTTTCAGAACTTCACGGTGTTCCTTGGTTCCTGAGAGTTCTCTATGGCACTGTGCCAGGACAGCTGGAGGAGCCAAGACATCATACTGCATGTGGTCACAGTATGGCTAAGCATCCCTGTGTTACTGAACAAGGTCCTCAGGATAATAAATTGATAAAGAAGGAAGACAACAAATTATTTTGGTCCAGTTTGAATTTTCTATCCACAACTGTTTTATTTCTACCATATAAAGAAATGAAGCCCTATAATCAAACTTACTCTTTTACATTAGAAAGTGTGCTATATCAAGAACTATTCCAATTTTGGTGCCAGAGAGCACAGTTCAAATTTTTGCTCAGTTGTATAAATCTTCAGACATCTCCACAATTCTTTACCTACATAGTAGAAAGAAAATATCTGGCTAGAGCTGGATGAGAATCAAAGGTGCATGAACTCTAGATGTGGAGGGCACAATCAGGCTGGATGATGTGGCAATTCAATGTCAACAAAGTAACAACAGGCACTGCAGACTTCAGTATCTATTCCTCTTTATTCCAGCTAGTACAAAAAGAGACAGATTAAAAGGGGGGCACAAAAGCTGTACAAGTTACTTTAATTGTAATAAAAGCCTATAATACATGGTATGTTGGAGCCTGGAGAAGCAGTTCCCTGTAGCTGGCAAGGTCCCAAGTTCTCCCCAGCACAAGAAAAAGACACAAGAAGCACAGCATCACACTAAAAAACACCAGTGACAAACGGGAAGCAGCGGTACCCATGGTAGTTAGCTGACACAGCCGGTACTTCTACGTAATAACTTCACAATAACAGCATAAACAGAGACGAAAAGTCAGCCAGCCATTTATGGGAGGACTGCCTATGCTGACGAGGGTGGCACTCTGAACATCCTCTTCTTCAGCTCGGCCGTCTTCTCTTCTATTCTAGAGCAATACTCCTTTGTTGTCGCCTCAATGCCCTCGTGGTACTTCTCCAGAGCACTTTTCAAGTTTACAAAGATTTCCTGAGGACAAATGTGATAGACAGGCCAAACACTGAATTGCAAAAACATTTCAATGGTCATTCATATTAATTCTAAGATTACAACTATGATAGACTATGAACCATCAAGAAAAGTTTCCGAAAGCTTTATTTCTTAAATCTTCTAAGAAAGACCAGGTGAATTAGCGACTAACTTGAGTAAACGCTAAACAATCAGCACATTGATGGCTACAGATCAGCTCATATCCCTAGTTCCACTGGGCTAGGTGTTCCTTCCCGTGGACAAGAACACTGAGTACACCATGAAGAATGCTATCACCTTCGAGAAACCATCAAAACCAAGTGTGGCTAAAATAAATAAACACAATCTGCAAATCCACAGGCAAGCACTTCAACACACCAAAGCAATGCTTTCTTCCTGACAATAAACATGCCCCCAAGGAAGAGCTAGTCACACAGATAGAGCCACCATAAACAGAACAAGAAGCCCAAATCCAGCAGCACACCCACCTGAAGGAAAAACACAGGTAGGTACTAATGTGGGTGGGTAATAGCCTTCTCAAATGCTATGTAGTTTAGAATAGCCAGTGAAAGTCTATACACAAGTGGAAATTTATACCAGTTCACAATAGCTCACATATAAAAAGTCTTATCGTGAAGTCAAATACTTCTAAAGTCAAAGCATAGGGCTGAGAATGCAAAGAAAAATCTAAGGCTAGCCCAGTGCTGTTCAACATAGAAGCAATGGCCATACAGCCACTATTCCGATGTATAAGAACTTAGACTAAATCCAAAATTCCATCAGCCCTTCAAGTACGTTAGACAAGGTCACGGTGCCTACCTACCCAGTAGCTACAGGGCAGAGCATGACTCTAGCAATGCTTTATGTGACAGTGTTGGCCTGATTATCTCATTTTTGAAATTTGAGGAATTTAAAAATTATAAAATATTCATAGACTTTTATACCCAGCATCACCATTGATCTCACAAAAATTTTTGTCCATCGATCAAGAATATATTATTGGATTGTTTTCTCCAAGTACCCTGTGAACAAGATAATGTGGACGAAATCACTCTCCACTCCACAATAACACACAGACTACACTAAGTACTGAGCACTGGAAACAAGGCTCGTGCAAGTGCATGGCCACACATCTGACCTACAGCACAATGAACACACAATACACATATGCCTTGTGGGAAGCACAGGACTAGGCTACCTATTAAAAGTCCACAGCGAGTGAGAAGCCAGAAACCAGACACATAGATGGCTCAGAGGAAGTTACATGGAAGATAAAACTTAATATTTTTAATGAACTCACACAAACAGATTTTTGTTGACCTTGTTTCTGTCCCCTCCCCATTTCCTAGACAACTCCCTCACCCCTCCAGAAAGCCAGCACTGTTGGTGTCTCCACTCCACTCTCATAGCTCATATGTTCTATTACCCTCCCTAACAACCTTCTCCCTTCAAGCCTTTTGCCTTCTCATGGACCCTTTTCTGATTCTTGGTATCTACACTCAACTGCTCCATATGAACATAGATATATAAAACTTAGAACATGTGGTTTTTATTTCTCTGGGACTGGGTCATCTCACTTAATATAGCATTTTCCACTAACATATATCTTCTTACAAATTTCATTTTATTTATGGATGAATAAGAATCTATAGTGTACCTGTACCACATTTTCAATATCCATTATTTTGTAGGTTGATCCTTGGTGACTTAAACAGAGCAGTCATAAACATTGGACAAGCAAGTATCAACCACAGTAATAGGCTGTTTGAACAAGAGTGTCCACCTGGGACAGAGAGTAGTTCTATTTTTAGCTGAGACACCTTCACCCTGGTTTCATAGTAATTACACCATGTTACAGGCCCAAGAACAGCGAATAGAGAACCTTCCGACCAGTAAAACAGCAAAGTGCTTTTCATGCAAGCCTGGTGACCTGATCTTGATCTCCAAAACACACTACAGTGCATGAGGGACCCAACTCCACCAAGCTGTCCTCTGATCTATCTCCAAGCATAAGCTGTGACATGTGCACACACATAGAATAATAAAATAAATAAGTAATTTAAAAAAGAGGTTCTTTCTCCTGCACTCTTCCAAGTATTTGGTGTCAATTATTTTCTTAAAAATGGTCATTTTGACTGGGATAAGATGGAATCTCAAGGGCTGGAGAGATGGCTCAGCGGTTAAGAGCACTGACTGCTCTTCCAGAGGTCCTGTGTTCAATTCCCAGCAACCACATGGTGGCTCACAGCCATCTGTAGTGAGATCTAGTGCCCTCTTCTGGCATGCAAGCATACATAGAAGGAATGTTGTAAACATAATAAATAAAATAATTTATAAAAAAAAATGGTGAATGATGTTGAACATTTTTGAAAATATTTACTAGCTATTTGTATTTCGGTTTTTTGGCCTATGGGTGTTTGTTTTCTTGTTTAGTATTTTCAATTCCTCATACGCTCTAGGTCTTCTGTACGGTATACAGGTAACAGAGGTTTATCTCTTTCTGTAGGCTGTGTTTCATTTGGTGGACAATTCCCTCTGCTCTGTGGAAGACTTCTGACTTCACAAGGTGGGATTTGTGGACAGTCAGTCTTATTCCTGAGCAAGAAGAATCCTACGCAAAAAGGCCTAAGCCTGTATCCTGAGGAATTTTTCCTAGTCCTTCCTTCAGCAGTTTCAGGATTTCCTGTCTTTTATTATGGTCTTTAGAGTTTGTTTTTGGCGCAGGGTGAGAGGAAGGATCTAGTTTCCCTCTTCTACATGCGAATATCCCATTTCCCATGCACCATTTGTAACTGTAGCTGACTTTTCTTTAATAACAATCTGTGGCACCTTCGTAAAGAACAAAAACAAAAGCCAGCTGGCTCCTGCTGCATGGCTTTGCTCTACGTCTTTGACAGTTCCACACTGGTTTTATTCCTGACACTGCAGTATAACATGAAGTCAGGCATCATTTCTATTGGACCTTAAATGATGGGAATGATCTGCTTACCTAAAGTCTTAGAGGCAGGGATCAGAACTTCGCTGTCCTCAACTTGACTCCTGAGCCAAGTGGGACCCAACACCTAGTAGGTACATACGCTATTTGTTAAAACATTGACTAGAAATTTTAAGCAGTCAATTCATTATAAATGAACCCATAAACTATAGGAAAATAGGGAGGCCTTGATTTAACAAGAAAGTACACTATTAAAAAGTTACTTTACAAAGATAAAATTGGCACTACTTAGTATTCAGTACAGATTTAAAATAGCAAAATTAGAGTCAAGGAAGGAAGTTAGCATTTTGTGACAATTTGCAAGACATAAAATTATGTTATGAATGTGTGAATAAAATGAATAGTATCACTGAGGAAAAGAAATCATGAAATTAACTTTGTGAGTCTGAAGGCCAGGGTTATCTCCACAGAATTTCAACATGAGTTAATCTCTTGTGATATAAAATGATGATGAGAAATATAAGAAATTATAGCATCTTAGAAATATATCAAATATTCTAAAAGAAATTTATGAAGACACTGAACAGAAGAGATTAAGTGGGGGAAGAAGAGGACAGATGGGAAAGATTTTGAACTCTACGTCATTTTTGCTGTGACTGGCTGGAACAGCAAAAAGATGTTTGAGCTGCTCAAATGGAAGAGGGACAAAACGCTAGAAGCAGGTGAATTACTGATGTGAGGGGACATTTAAAGCAGGGGCAGTGACAACTGGGGTCCAGCAGCCCCGATTGAAGACTACTTTGACAATCTGTGCACGCTTCTTCTTCGTGAAGGGTGGATAAAAGAACTAGAGAATTCTTTGAGCAAATGAACTTGAGTTCACCCACGTATTCACAGTCATTCTTGGGCTGCTGAGGAACAAATGGACGTCAGCGGACTGGGTAAAGGTAGGACAACATAGCAAGCTGAATGGCCGTGTCTGGGGCTCTGATAAGGCTGCATGTTCTGGAGGAGCGGTACAATGCAGCCAGAGTCTCTTCCATCCTGGAAAAGAGGCATGCTGCTCGAATCTGCCGCCAACACCACACAGTGAGACACAATTGGTATGGACGAGATTTAAACAGAGAATCTAGGTTGAGAGAAAGACAAGTAAGCCTACAAAATCTAACAATAAGCTCTTGAATTGAGAGCAACCATTTCATTGCTGTATGCTATGGTGAAAGGACCAACCCGGCAGAGCTGCACCTGAAGAAGGAGTCTCTGACCATAGTCTGAAGTCAGAAGGCAAGACATGGCTGCTGACAACCCATCCCCCAAGGCTTTGTAAACAGAAGTTTCTGGGGCCACAGCACTGCTTGGGAAGACTGCGGTAAGAAGGAGGTTCTACACTTTGAATAACGACAGGGAAGAAATACTAACAGTAAACAGGATACGATCAGTCTGAAAGTGAGCACGTGAGGAGTGGCTGGACAGTGGCTACACCCAAAGGAAAAGAGGACGGAAGGAAACAGGGCTCCCATCTTATGAGCTAGTCAACAGAACACAGTATAGATTATTCCAGAAGGAAGGTCTGAGTGTGCCAGAGTACAGACACTGAATATTTTAAATTCAGAATGGGAAATAACATTTTAACAACTACAGCTGTACTAGAACAGCTTGTGTGGTTATGAGCTCCATCCACAGAAAACAACCACAATCACACAGAGCCCGTCAGTGGCTCTCAAGAGCCATCCTATGCTAGAGATAAACAGACAATTCAATTAAGAGATGGGACCTGTTGTTGAGATTCTAATTCAATGTATTTGGGAGGGGACTTGGTCATTTCAAAATCCCTCACTGAATTCTAACACAGCTAGTTTTAAGACACAGTACTTAGTGCCCTTTCAACTGTATAAATATTTATGGAAAGCAGACTATACCCAAGGCTATCCTAGGAATGGTTTCACATGCCATGCTAAGGTTTAAAGAACAACTGGTATTGCCAGGGAACATCTAATATTACTGGTGAGACACACATGCACAGAGCCAACAGGAATATAAGGTAGGTTGGGCATCTTTTGTGACTAACAAAGTTCAAATTGGAGCCAGGTATTACTTTTAAGCTGCTAATAACAAGCTGATTATCTACACCTTGAGCATGTGACAGCAGTCTCTGGTTTCCTTAAGAATGTCGGGTGAAGTTTCTCCTCAAGTCTCTTTTGCATTAGAATCTTTGCAGACTGTACGGACAGTGGGTGACAGCGGCAGCGAGAGTTCAGCTATCACAAACCAGGTGCTTCAGAAGCGGGAAGATGGAGAAGAATGAAGAAGGAGGCCCAAGATTATGAATGAAGAGCTGTGCTACTGGGGGTAGCTTTTGGTAAAATGTTTCTAGAGACAATTTAAAAGTCATGGGGAAAGTCCGTCTACTTAGGACTTGAGAACTGTGTTTATATTCTGTGATGTGCTGAAAGGCAGGTAAGAGAAAGGGCACAGGAGATGAGTGTCTGCAGAACTGGTATCCAGAGAGCTGCTATAAACAGAGGAAAGCAAAAGACCCACGGGGTCAAGTTCCGCTCCAGAGAACTCAAACCCTGTCATGAGTGACATCCTTTACGTTTTAACCCCCGGAATCTCTGTCCTAGGAACACGCACCTGAGACTTCAGTTTCTCCTTTTTCGTACTATCTTTCAGCTGCTGAACTCCAGATTTAATCTTCTGGATTTCCAGAGTAATGGTGGTTACTTGCTCACAGACAGCACCTCTTTTATCTTGAACTTTATTGCAGTCTCTAAAGAAGAACAGAAACACCAATATAACTTCTCTCGAGCATTTAAAAAAAAAACAAACGAAGATGCTAATAATGAACCCAGAGCATCGTGTGTCAGTACTTGCTCAACAAGCCTAGAACCCTTCCAGATATAAAAGCAAGCAGACAAAACCCACAAACCCCCTACACAGTGTGGTGCACTATAGTTACACAATGGTGTACGGAACTCCTTCATTCAAGAGCTGTTCTTTCTGTTTCCTTATTTTGTAGAGCTAGAGATTAAAGTCAGAGCCTGGCACCTTCCCAGCAAGTGCTCCACCGCAGCCCTCACAACCTACTCCATAAGATGAAGGTTTGGCTGCAGTGCCTCGGTGCACACATCCATGCACTGTTAGCGCAAACGTGGGTTAGTAGAACTTTCTGCGCTTTTGGCAGCGAATACACAATCCCCAGGTTCTGTCTTTTCCTTTCAGCTGCATGAAATACTCAGTCCCAATGCCGCTTAAGGACCAGCGGAATGACACTGCAAACATCCCTGTGGCATGTACGCTAAATGCACTCCTGGGACTCACGAGAAGACTCTAGTGGTGAAATACCTCAACATACAAGCAGAAGAAATTAACAAAGTATTAATTTTTACCTGAATAATATTAAGATTTCCTTTCCTAAAGTAACTCTAGGCTACTATGTCTCAAACGCACTAAAATGAACACTAGTACCACAACTCCTTCAAAGATTAACACAAAGGAATTGGAACTGTGTGCCTCAAAAAGCCACAAACAAGCTGAAAAACACCAACCAAACAAACAAGCGAAAGAACCCGGACAGAATTATAACAATCGTAGTCACTGGAAGCAGAATTCTTTACTTTGAAAGCCTCTCGGCTTTCCTTGTGCGTCCTAAGCCCCTGCCCTGCATCAGGCCCGTACTCGATCACCGTCTGCTTGTACTGCTTCATGTCCTCCTGCTTCTTGTTGATTCGGAAGCGCGTGGTGGCCAGCTTCTCCTTCTTTACAATCAGCAGCCTTTTGAGGGAATTTTCTTCAGTCTTCAGCTTCTTTAGTTCTGATGAATCACTTTCAATCTGGTCCTCCAAGTTTAGGTTCTGTTTTATGAAGCATATTTAAAGTTAACACAAGCAAACAGGACTTACAAAGAAAACAAAAGGGTTTCTGAGGGTGAGCTAGAATAACACAGTTTTGAACTGGAGTAAGTCTTCAGGCTTTGAAAGCTCAGCAGAAAACCACAACTGTACAAGGGGAAGGAGCCCAGGGAGGAGAGAAGAGTTGCCTCTGCTGGTCTGCCAGAACTGATGAGGGACAGGCACACAGCAGCCAGACCCTACAGCTGAGTACTGGCATAGGAACCAAGATGGCAGAAGAAAGAAGGGCAGAGGCAGACCTCAGAACCAAAAGCAGATCTGTCCTGTGGCCCCAGATGGTGGATCAGACAATGTGCTAGGTCCCGCACTTCTGTCAAAAACAACCAACTTTTATTGCAATGTTAGTGGTCCAGGGAGTGGCCTGGACTAGGATGTGAAAATGACCTCAAGCATCAGAGAAAACTGGAATGGCAGAGATGCCTCTCAGTATCCAGGATGGAGATGCTGCTGTAAGCTGGACAGCTCAACTGACACAAGTGCAGTGATGGGAACTAAGGTGGCCTCTATGCCACTGACGATAAGTGATTACATCTGTTACGACAAGCTAAAACATTCATTACTCTATTCCAAACACATACCAACCCGTGCTATACTAATTTATTATTCATCTCATCTGAAGGTTAAGATGAGTCCTGACATCCTGATGTTTAGGGGAAGATGGCTTACTCCTCAGCACATCCATACTACAGAACAAGCTAGTTTGTCTTTAGGAAGACAGTAACAAAAGGTGAAAGTGCATCCAAAGCTGTTTGCCCATCACATAATAACGACAGAAACGCCATCCAATACAAACCTCCTTTAAGGTACTGCTTAGCTTTTCCCTATTATCTGCAAGGTCCTGTATTTTCTTTTGATATAACTGCACCTCCAGCTGACAGGAAGGCAAGCATTCCACAGAATCTCTATAGACTTCAGTCTTCTCCATCACTTCTTGCTTTGGGAGGGGGAAAAAAAAGACAAGATTGATATTCTCTTTTATGAAACTGCAAGTTCAATTTGTTTGCTCTTCAATGATTTCTACATTCAGCTCTGAAAGCTCAAGAACGCACAACAATCAAGTTCCCAGCTCAGTAGCAAGGCACTACTACGAAGGTGTCAAACAATAGCGCCTCTTTTTAAAACATTCTAATTATTTATTTATTTTATGCGTATGACTGTTTTGCCTGAATGCTTGTCTGTGAACCGTGGCCATGCCTGGTGCCTAGGAGACCAAACAAAGGCATTGGATCCTTTGGGACTGCAGTTACAGACGGTTGTGAGCTACCATACACTTGTCAGGAATCAAGTAGTCAGGGCTCTTAACCACTGAGCTATCTCTCCACATCCCTAAAGATGCTTTTAAAACTCCGAATACCCATAACAAAGAAAACTGGCACTACTTTAATACTTGACCACTCACTACTAATTTTCCAAAGATTCTTTGTGTGTGTGGGAAAGAGCTCACTCTGGTTGGGTACAGCTTAGCCCGCAAGTGCTTGCCCGTGCCTACAAAGCCCTGTGGTTGTCTGTAAACACCACCAAAACAATCCAAAGGTGTGCTCTGATAATTCTTGAACTACTTCTCATACTTCAGGGAAGTCACATTATCTATTAATATCTTTCTATTTGTTTTTTTTTTTTTTCTATTGAGCAGTCAGCACCACGTTCGGCTCCAGAGTCAACGTAGAAATGTTTACAGGTGACACCGTGAGCTCATCCTTGCTGCTAGTGCAGCAGGCCAGCAGGCTCCAGAGTGATGCTTTCTCCTGGTGTGAAGAGCTCCAGGAGCTTCTCTAAGCCCTCTTGCATTTTAGTAATTAATATACAGTATACAGCCTCATTTTTTTTTTTTCTGAGACAGGGTTTCTCTGTGTAGCCTTGGCTGCCCTAGAACTCTCTTTGTAGGCCAGGCCGGCTTTGAACTCAGAGATTCAGTTCCTCTTGAATGCAGATTAAAGGTGTATGCCACCAAACCCAGCTAATACATAGCGTAGCCTTCTTTTTTTCCTATCTCCTACTATTTTGCCTTTTAAAAATAAACCTGCATCTATTCTTTTGCCCTGTTGTTCTGGTGGGTCTAGAGCAGTCTGATTTTCTGCTGTTTGGAGGCTGCTGAGGCCAGTGAGTGCAAGCACAGGAGAGAAAGAAGGTGGTCAAGACTTGGCCATGGTCTAGTGGCTTGCAGGAAGTGTCATGATACTTTCCTGTGGAATCTCATTGTGCCCCTTGCTACCATCTGTTTTGGCATGGTAGTATTTGTTTATATAACTATTATTAGCATCTGATGATTCTTTAAAAAGATAATCTCATTTAAAATACAAAAGGAATGTATCTACTCAAACCACATACCACTGCAGACATCTTTCCTTATCCCCATTAAGCAACCAGTTAAATTTCTCCTCAGAAAAGAACCTAATTATATTGCTCACCTTTCATTTCTATTTATTTTATGATTTTCTAAACACTTTGTGTATAATGGATCTAATATTCCTTCAAGTCTTAGTTTGCTTCCTGTTGCTGTGATAAAGACTACAATCAAAAGCAACCTGGGGTTGTCTAGTGACACAGCTTAGTGGGTAAGAGCGCTAGTTTTTCCAGCGGAACTGCATTCAATTCCCAACTGCCACATGGTGACTCACAACTGTCTGCAATGTCAATCCCAGGAGGTCTGATGCCCTCTTTTGGCTTCCAAAGGCACCAGGCCCACAGTCCACAGAGATACATGCAGGCAAAACACCCATACACACAAAATACAAACAAACAAACAAATAAATTTTAAAGGCAACCTAGGGAGGAAAGAGTTAATTTTAGCCTACATCTTACAGTCGGCCATGAACCACTGCTTACTGACTTATTCAGCCTGCTTTCTTATAAAACCCAGGAACTAGCTACCTGGGGCTGGCACCGCCCACAGTGAATTTGGACCCTCCCATATCCATCACTCGTGAAGAAAATGTCCTACAAGCTAATCTGACAGAGACAATTCCTCAGTTGAGATTCTTTCTTCCCAAATTATGTCCAGGTTTGTGTCCAGTTGATAAAACCTAAACAAAACTCTTCACAGGCAGAGAAACTGTTTCAGTAGGTCTTGTCTCTCTGTAGGCTTTAGGTTTCCATGTCAAACCAAAAACATTTAGCCTATAATCTAAGCCGTCAGGAGGCTGAGGCAGGAGAATCAGGAGTTCTAAGGTTAGTCTCGGCTAAAAAGTCAGACTGCGGAGGTAGGGTATGTGTGTTCATTTGGTCAAAGATTATATACATGTTCTAAATCTGTTAAATTTTAAATTTCTAATCCACATAAAGACTGATTTTCATAAATAGCCAGCTGTTTTCTTCTAGAGGAACAGATAACCCTTCTCAGTGGAGGGTGGGGTCAGGCCCAGGGCTTGAGTAAGCACCCTCACCATGTAGATAAACTCCACGATCCATCAGCTTTACATATGGCAGCCGTTCTCCAGAAACTGTCAAATCTACTCCTGGGCTCCATTTCTGTTCTGAAGAGTTTTTTCCTCTATTATTAGTGACAATTTTCAATATTGGGAATTACTTGGATATGATAACTTTAAAATCTTGATTCAAAACAGAAGTCAAGTTGTCTGCCCACCTCTAGCTTTGTCCCTTCTCACTTCACTCCTCCTCTCACAGGAGCCCTGAGTGATCAGACGCTAAAACAAATCCCCATGCCCTCTCCTACCAGACTCCCACAGATACAAACTGAGCTCCCTCGTTTCCTTATATCAAGTATCCGCTATTTTAATGCTACTTTGAAAACTGACTTAACTTTTTATAGCGGTTTTATATTTGAAGCAGAAATGATCAGGAGAAACAAAGATTTCTCACGCCCCTGTGCTCACCAACACACTCTATGATTTCATAGTTCACACTGTAATTTTTAGTTACTAATTATTTGCAAAATTGTTTACTACCTTTCTTCTCTAAAATGGAGTGATTCGTTCTCATAGGAACACAACAGTGTAGAGCCACAGCTGCTGCAGCTGAGTCAGCAGTTACCTTGGAGCTATAGCCTTTCCTCTCCTCTCCTCTCCACTCTGTACAGACACGAGGTAATTCAGAAAGTAACTCGACACAGGGCACTCACCCGGGCGTTCCGGAGCTTCTGGACAGTGCCTTTCATCTTCTCTTTACAGATCTCTACTTTCTTGGGGGAGTCTGCAATTTTACTCTTCAAGCTCTCTTGGGCTTCTTTCAAAGAAACCATTGACAACTTTAGTTCATTCTGTTGAGAGACATTTTTACCAATCAGGCCAGACAACAAAACTGGTTACTACTGTTTGAATAATCCAACAGCACTGCTCATGCCTGCTGTAACTGGGTAAAACTGAATTCTGACCACCCTGGCCTGCTTAATGGCTCTGACTACAGATCAACTTTTTTGTGTGAAACTAAACACCCTCAGGGGCATCTCTGAGATCAGCATCCTGGTCCTAAGAATATCCATGGATCCTTGAAATCTCCTCTCATCCTCTACATCCCTTCCACAAGCAGCAAGACACACAATGGTAAAATCATAATTTTTAATTACATATTTATTATATGTATAATATTATGTGTATTTAATCATAATGTATTTGATGTGTTTTCATATTAACTGCGTGACCTGGCTGGAGTTTGAAAAAGTTACTTTTGTTTTTCTGGTACTCAAAGTAATAGCACCTAACGGGTGTGTGTGTGTGTGTGTGTGTGTGTGTGTGTGTGTGTGTGTGTGAAGTGCATTTCTATATGGTTAACTTTGGGTAATTTTTATTCTCTTCATACATTTCCATGTGTTGATGTTATTTTTTTTTCTTTTATAATAGTTTCTGGATTTAAGTTGAAAAAAGTTGCCAGGTGGTGGGACACCTTGAAGGGAAAAGGTGACAGAGAACTACTGACAGTCACACAGCTCAAACACTGCAGGATACTCAAACTTCAAACATGAGGTAACAGAGGGGATGCTTACCAAACGCTTGGTTTTCTCTGAAATATCTGATTTCTTTTGGGCATGCCCCTCCTGCAGCCCTGTCTAAGAGAAAAAACAATTGCGTTATTATGATTCGAAACCCCAAAATTAAACCACTAGCTACTTCCTCATCCAATAAAGGTAAGAAGAAGCGGAAGAGAGAAGATCAGATGGTATCCAACTTTCTTTATCCTCAGGCCTGATGGGGAGTCTCGCAGAAGCACAAATGGATTAAGAAAGCCTTGGACTGGTGAGGCCCGCTCGTTGCTGTACCTGTGAGGGTGATTCTGGAGACAACTAACTCATGAGGACTCTGACCTAACGGATGAGCCAACCCACTGGGATCAAACCTGAACAGGCTGTCAGGAGGCTGTAGAGCTACCTGCCTGAGAAAACAGGCCCGGGAGGATGCGCACTGCCTTGGCATTTGGGAGCACTCCTTCCGGCTTCCCGTTCCCATTCAATAAGCTACTCCGCCGTACTTTCCCATCATGATGAACTGAACCCTCTGAGACTGTGAGCCCAAATCAACCTTCCCCTGTCTAATGCTAATACTTTAGCCATAAAAAGAAAGAACTGTGTAATCTGTCCTAGCACCACCGAAACACTTCAAAAATTAATATGCAAATTGAAAGGGAAAGTTCCTTTTCAAACAGTAACTCATTAGGTGTGTGTGAGATCTGCTGAGCAGCACAAAAACTCAAGCAACTTAGAGTCAGCTGAGACCTGAAAATTATCATTTTTTTCTTATTGATTTGCGCCTTTTGGGTTTTTTTTTTTCTTAGCATGACAAACCCCCTAAACCCCAGCTTAACGGAAATACAGGGAAAATACCACAAGCTGACCTGAAGCTGGGAACTAAGTATTTTGAGCTAGTGCAGACTAGATGTAGAACACTACCGTATTTCCCACAAATACACAAACTGACCCAACGCCCCTTGAGCATTTGCTGCAGTGCTCAGGGTACCACAGCCGCAGCAGAACCAAACACAAGAGAATACTCAAGAATTCTATGCATCCAGAATGCACATAGCCTGGCAACACAAACAGGCGCAGCAACACGTTGATGGTGTCTTCAGTAACTGAAAGACAGCTGTGTGAGCCCCCACAGCCATATACCGCTTTCTGCCTAAACTCCTGGTTCAGCAGGTACTGCAGCTCCTGAATGTCATCCATATACTGCTTGAACTCTTCTTGCTCTTCAACTGGAACTGAACTAAACACAAAAAAACAAATCAAAAAAGTGTGTGCATTCTTAAATTTGAAAGGTACAAATAAAACTTATGCCTTTGATAATTAAGGGTCTGATTCCTTGTTTCTGAATTATATACCTTCAAGATAACCATTTAATAGATGACTTTTATCTTCTACTGGAAGAAAAATAATCAGACAACAGCCTTCAATTTTATGCCATCTCATCGGCCCCACATGCACACACCCATCCACCATCCCTCCCACTAGGATGTCCACAGTATTCCTCTGTTGTCAAGGCTAGTTTCTCTAACTGGGCCTTGGCTCTCAGCACCACACACTTCCCAGTGTGGGACCAGCCACTCTCCTATGCTACCATCCTTTCCAACAGCACCTACAAATCTGTACTTTTCTATGTTGACACAAGCTATAAAGTCATCAGAGGAAGGAGCCTCAGCTGAGGAAATGCCTCCATGACACCCAGTTGTAAGGCATTTTCTCATTTAGTGATCAGTGGGGGAGGACCCATCCAATGGTGTGTGGTGCCATCCCTGGGCTGGTGGTCCTGAATTCTGTAAGAAGGTGGGGCTGAGCAATGAGAAGCAGGTCATTAAGCAGCACTCCCTCCATGGCCTCTGCATCAGCTCCTGCCTCTGGAATCCTGCCCTGTTAAGAGTTCCTGCCCTGAATTCCTTCAGTGATGAACGCTGAAGTTTAAGCCAAATAAATCCTTTCCTCCCCAACCTGCTCTTTGGTCATGGTGTTTCCTTGCAGCAATAGAAACCCTAACTACGACAATATCCAAAGGTCGTTTTACTTTAGACTATCTAAGGTATTATGGTGTGGGAAGTCCTTCTGTTTATGTGTTGCTTTTATTGGTTAATGAATAAAGAAGCTGCTTTGGCCTGTGATGGGGCAGAACAGAGCTACGCAGAAATTATACCTGTTTTGTTGTATATAATTTTACTTTGTTAAAGTTAAAACCTTCCTTTTTATTTAGACAAAAAAAGGGGGGGGGAAGTGGTGTGAGAATTCCTTCTGTCTATGTGTTGCTTTTATTGATTAATGAATAAAGCTCTTTTGGCCAGTGGCTTAGCAAAATAGGGCAAGGTGGGAGTTCCAAGCAGACAGAGGAGAAAGAAGACGGAGTCAGTGAGAAGCCAAGTAGCCCCACCAGGGACAGGACTTTACCTGGTAAGCCACAGCCAAGTGGCAATATACAGCTTAATAGAAATAGATTAATTTAAAATATAAGAGTCAGCTAAAATTACGCTTAAGCTATTGGCCAAACAATATTACAAACAATATAGTTTCTGTGTGGTTATTTCGGCTCTGAGCAGCCGAGAACAAACAAGCAGGCTCCCCCAACAGTTTTAGCCATTTATTTTGATTCTGTCTTTGCCTGTGTTTCTATAAAGTTAACATTTATCCTCTCAGTCTGTAAGAACTGTTCACCTACTAGGAACACAATATGAGCCCTGCCACCAGCTTAGCAATGCTTTGCATCGTACGCTGCAGACACTCTCTCCCAGCTCTTTGTCCTGAGATTTAGTTTGGGATTTATTTCTATCATGCTAAATTGTAATATGTGTCTCTCACTCCAAGTCTCTTAGTTTACTGCTGCCTATACCAGAGACCTTAAACAGACAACCTCAAAGACATTGATAGACTAGAATCAAGCCAACCACATCTGACTGTTCATAGTCAGTGTAGGCAGCCCTCAATCTATGATGGCTCCACAGAACAGCTTATCTACAATAGCGAAAAACAGCACACACTCAGTAGGCTGTACTTCGGATCTTGATCCTTTTGCACAGCAAGCAGTAGAGGTGATGCTGGGACCCCCGCTGGAGCTCCTGGTTGGAGAGTGAACAACCCTCCACACAGGGCAAAGCTTTGCTGCACTATTGTACGCAGTGGGGCAGGTGGACAATGCACTAATGAGAAAGAACCAGTGACAACTCAGAGCCAGGGAAGGAAAGCACAGATTTGTTTTTAGAAAGGGGGACTGAAACAACCTCCCATTTATTCAGGCAGACAGTGAGACTGGCTGTGGATGGTGGCACTGAAATCAACTACTCACTGCTTGGTTCGCACCCAGAAGCTGGATTCATCTTATTTGTAAAGCTCCCACTTACTTGAGTTTCTCCATCTTCATCATGGCTTCCTGGTTCACACTGTTCAGCTGCTGCATTTTGTCCATAGAGGATTTCTATGAATGCAATTTAATCTTGCATTAGCATGTTTTAACATGTAAGAATGCATTAAAAAAAAAACAACTAAAAACAGACTGCAAAATATTTACACTATCCAAAAAAAAAACAAAAAAAGAAAGAGTTAGAGCCAGGCCCCATTTGATCTGCACCCATAAGATAAGAATTTCAGTGTGAATTCCCAGAACCTAGAGGTTGAACATGCCTGTAACCCCAGGACCAGTGGGCAAACACATACATAGGTGTATCCAGAGAGCCCTCTAGTCAGTTAGATTAGCCCAAATCACAAAGTTCTAGTCCACAGAGAGACCTTGTGTCAAAACAATAAGGTAGAGAGGAAAGCTGGGTGGTGGTGCACACCTTTAATCCCAGCACTCAGGAGGCAGAAGCAAGCAGATCTTTGTGTGTTCAATCAGCCTGGTCTACAGAGTAAGTTTCAGAACAGGCTCTAAAGCTACAAAGAGAAACCCTGTCTCAAAAGGCCAAAATAAATGAATAAATACATAAACAAATAAATAAATAAGATAGAGAAGCTAGCAGTATGATTGAGAAAGACACCCGATGAGCTCGCTGGCCTCACCCTCTTGGGCATGTACCCACACACTCAGGAGCAAGACCACACACATACACCTGTCACCCAACACACAAGATAACAGTAAGTTTAGGCATTTATGACAAACAAGTTAGGACCAGTTTTTTCTCTCCTTCTAAAAATGCTGGGCAGTAAAGCCAGGGTCATGTGCATGTTAGGTGCAACCTCCGAGCGTATTATTCCCAAGAATTTCTTCACCTGGCACAATTGTTGCTAGATACACCTCACTACAGCTAGACGCTGTTAAATTGTTGCTAGATACACCTCACTACAGCTAGACGCTGTTAAATTGTTGCTAGATACACCTCACTACAGCTAGACGCTGTTAAATGCTGCTCATTTTGAAGAATCTTTTTGATCCTGAACATGGTTCTATTTCTTTAAGCCATCAGTCATGAATGGAAAGCTATGAAACCAACTAACTAAAGCGTTGAATGTAATGGGAACAGAGACCATGACACCTGTCCCAACACAGGCAGTGGCAGGAAGGACAGTCCCTCGGGTTTCTTAGAAACGAAATGCCTGTGTTGTGTGTCTTTAAAAAATGAGAGCAAATAGGCAAACGAAAGTGTGAGTGTGTGTATACTTGGGTGTGAGTTATGTATATGCAACCGTGTGTGTGTATGCTTGGAGAGTCTTCAGGTTCAGGAGTGTAAGCTTAGCCTACTTGAACTAAGAGTCTATCCAGTTCCAAGTAGCTGAATCTCAGATCTGGTTCATGTTACCTGGTACTTTCTATGAGATCAGCACTTGCACATAAAGAGTAATGAGAATGAGTCCCCCAATATTCGTCCATAAGCTCCAGAGTATACCAGTTGTACAATGAAAAAAAAAAATCCATCTGTTAAAGTGATGGTGTTGAACTGCATCTGTGAGACCAGGCAGAAGAATAACAAACAGTCCAACCTGACCTTGCTTAAAAAGCAAGCAAATTTCAAATATCTCAGTTATTTGGAGAAGACTATGCACCTTTACAAATTTTGAAAAAAACAACAACAACTATTTCTTAATGTCTCAACTACAACATAAAAAAAATTCTATCTTCTGTATTATCAAGAATATATCATTTCAAAATATCATCCCCAAACTAAAGTCTACTTTGTATAAATATAAAACAAAATCCAATTTTAAGAATTATCTTATAATTGACCTGTGACAAAATTTCAAGGCAGACTTATAATTTGTACGTTGAGATTGCTGACCTGGTGTGTATGCATCTAGAAAATATACTTAAATCTTACATTTTTCAAAAGAAATTCTGAATACGTCTCCCGGCATGCTTCTCTGAAGTGGATAAAGTTGATAATGCCACTTAAAAACCGAACTGTCCGTTTTGCTTCTAAAAAAGAAAATAACACTGTAAACCATTGAAACAACAGAATGCAAAGATATATCAGTTTTACTATATGACTTGGCTCACAGCATAGAAAAAATGTATGCTTTAACGACGTGCAGAATTATCTGTTCTAACTTAGACTGGAATTATCTTTGTGTTTAGAAAGGAGAGAAAAGGAGGAAAGCAAGCTAGTTTGAGCTATATAGGAGAGCAGAGACCATGACGGATTCTAATTTTAAAACAGAAAGTGAATGAATGAATGAATGAATGAATGAAGCAAAACCTTTAGACAGCAGAGCACATGCAATATAGGACAGAAACCACCTTCAAAGCGGAAAGAGGGGAGCCCTGTGAATGCACTTGCTCTTAACAGAGAATGCCAACAGCAGGCATGGGTCTACGGAGGCAAGATGGTAAGATTTTAGAGTGTGAGGGGCCAGAGCAGCTAGAATTGCTGAGACTAAGAACTCAGAGACAGAGGCTGTGGAGAGTGTGAGAATTCTGGCAGTCTCAGAGAAGCTGGTTCTAATCAGCATGCAGACATGAAGAAATTACAAAGGCTGAGAGAAGAAACAGAAATATCTAAAGCAGTAAACAAAAGCATCAGTATTACATGGCATAAAATTTGTAATCTAAGAAAAATAAAAAGCAAAACCAGAATATGATTTATAAAAAAAAAACCTATCAAAATACCTTGAAATAGCACCAATGACAAATACAATAAAACAGGCCATGAAAATGTCTCATTTGTTCAAAAACAAAGTCTTATGAAGATAAAGACAATTCCTAAAAATATCCAACTCCAACTCAAAGAGATGAAAACAGAAGATATCTGTAATAAAAATTGTGCTGGGAGCTGGAGAGATGGCTCAGAGGTTAAGAGTACTGGCTGCTCTTCCAGAGGTCCTGAGTTCAATTCCCAGCAACCACATGGTGGCTCACAAGCATCTGTAATGAGATCTGGAGCCCTCTTCTGGCCTGTAGGCTACATGAAGGCTGACGTTGTATACATTGAAAAAAAAAAATTGTACCAGAATGATTAGAAAAAGAAGTTTAGAGCCAGAGAAATTCATGGTATGCAGGCCAGCAGGAGCAGTCACCCCACCTATGAGCAGAGGCAGGATTGACAGCATCCAAAGGCTGTGATGAAATCCCACAAAAAGGAGGAACAAAAACTACTTTTTGCCTAACAGAAGAGTAAGATCTAAATCTCATGAAAACCATAAATAGTGAATAACTCTAAGTTGAAAAACAAAAATTCAAAAATTCCCCAGAACCCTAAAATATATTTAAGTAGCTAGGAAGTAGTAATAAAATTTAAAAGCAAGGACAAGAAAATAAAGCGGACATATTAGATGGAATAAAGATAAGAATAAGAGTAGGTTTTCTTATCAGGAACAAAGGAAGCCATTATATAATGTAGCAATAAATCTTTTCCTTTTCTGTATCTTCAAGGGATTTTATTATTGGTCTTTATTGGTCCTCCTTATGGATACTGTTTTCAACAGCGCCAGCATGCCTTTAAAGCACTGGGAAAGTCATCAACTTAGAACTCGGTAATTAAGAAAATTAGCTTTCAAAACTAAGGGGAAACAGGCATGTCAGGACACACCAGGAACCAACACTCACGTTACTGAGGCCAGAGGCTTTTAACTTCTAGGCCAGCCTGGGCTATATAGTAAGATACTGTTTATAAAAACAACAAACAAGGAGCCGGACAGGTGAGTCAGAGGCTAAGAGCACTTGCTGGTCTCGCAGAGGACCTGAGTTTGGCTCCCAGCACCCATATGGCACTCACAACCACATGTAACCCAAGCTCCCGGGATCCAACAACAGGATCCAAGGGGACAAGGCATGTACATGGTATGTATCACACATGAAGGTAAAACACACTCACAAAAATAAATAAATCTTTCAAAAGCTATTTTTTTAAAAATTCAGTAGCCAAAATAAGGCAAGAATTGGAGAACATGGAAATATATAAATATTATAAGGAAGAAACAAAAAGATTAAGGGTAAATTTAAGTCTGATCATATCAATAATATTAAACACAAATGAGCTAAGCACTCCAATTAAAGGGCAGTGAAGATGAAAAGAATAAATTCACAAAAGATTTCAATATCTCTATAATTCATTCAACACAGCAACTGAAAGAAAATCTGAAGGAATGTTACTAACTGGTGCAAACTGTGGAGTGCCCTGCCCAGCGAGGAAATGCAAATGCAGGCTGTGTAACAGCACTGCAGGCCCTGTGGATGAGCTTGCAGGTCCTAAGACTCGAAAGTAATGCATCACAAGAGTTCACTGGACAGTGGCAGAGTCTGACACTGTGTCCTCTGTGGTATGCCATGTGCTGCAGTGAGCAGGAACAGTAGGGATAACAAAGAGTAGATTATTCCAGAGAGGAGAAGGGCATCAGAAAGCACAAAGGAAGACAGAAGGGGAGCTGACAGAAAGTCAACAGCACGGGGCTCCAGCTATCCACCTCACACATCCAAAACTAAGGACCCCAGCTACAAGCATGCCAACAAATGAATGAGGGAAGAAAACTGGCCGTGTGAACCGAGCCTGATTTTATCCTATGGCAGAGTCATACCAACACAGAAATAAAGTTATCTTCCAAAATTTTAGGAACATTTAAAAAATAAGAAATTTTAAGAAAAAATCAACTTAAAAAACAGCTTTATAAAGATATAAAGGACAAAAAAGAAATAACTTTCTAAAAATTTTTTCTTATAATTTTCTTTTACATTTATTGGCAGAAAGGGAAAATGGCGAATTAAATGACTGGAAATGTACTTACTTGGACACAGAATATCAGTGATCTCAAAGTCGTTCACTCGGCAGATGGGCATAAAGGAGTCCCTTGGGGATACAGAACAGTGAAGAGCAGGGCATTAGATGCTAACCCATGAACGCAAAGATCTTAGATCCAAACATATTTCTAGATCCATTGCTCAGTGTTCCAGGGTCAAGTCAGGTCAGCATTCTACTGCAGTGCACAGTCCTGCAGCATGAAATCTACTTCTACATTGCATTAGTATTGGTTTTTATACATGTTACAACATTCATTTAATATAAAGGTAGTTACAGAAAAATAAACAGCATATATTCTTGGTGATTCTAAGACTCTTCAAAAATGCAAAGCTACCAAACAATTCCAGACTTAGAGGACCTTAGAATGTCACCTGAGAGCATCCTGAAAAGTGCCAGAGGGGAAAACTGAATACATGTGAGAACTCTGAACACATACGAGATAAAGTAGAGGGAGCTGTTGTTTTACAAAGACCAGACCATTAGAAGAGCTTAATATAATGTAGATTAAAAAAAAAAAAATCACCCTTTACTCACAGATGAACTAATAAATTGATGATTGGTAAAAAGTTCTCCATTAAAAGTGGATACATGACTTCTATGTTCACCGGGATCTGCATGAAATAAGTCATGAAATCTGTATCAATTAGACGAAATGAGAAGAATCTTCAACTATAAGAAACCTTAAACACAGGAAATGGTCTAACGATATTGGCTCATTACCACCCAATCTGAAAACAACACAACTCGCAGTGCACAGCCAGAGTTGACAGGAATAGATGATGCTCAGTCCCCAGGGGGCATTTAATGAAGAACCTTAAGTCCACGGAAATGACATCAGGCCTTATGCTAGGCACTTAACTTTGTTGTTCTCTTTTAACTGCTACAACCCTACTTTAGAGGGATACCTCGTTTCGTAAAGAAACTAAACCTTTGCAAAGCTCCATAGTAAACAGAGGGCAAAATCTTTGCTCTTTAAAAACTCCAGTTATAGGCCAAGAGTGGTAGCATGTGTCTATTATACAAGTACACGGGAAGATGATGAGTTCGAGGACAGTCTGGGTTGTCAAAACAGTAATATATATATATATATATATCACCTGATGAGACCCCACAGACACGACATTGTCACAGATCTTCAGATAATACCCTGATAATTTCATCACAAAACATGGTCAAGAAAAGCAGTCCTTCTGACTAGAACTATGTGGTTTGTTTCATTTCAATTGCTTTAATCTTACTACCACCTAGTTTAATCTTAGAGTCCTTCCTACAAAAACAACGTTTTCCCTAAAGGCTTGGCAGTTGTTTATTAAAGTCTCTGAAGCCAACACCTGTAAACAAACTGTACAGAACCAGCAATTTCCAAGTATCATTTGGTCTTTCATTATAGTTTCCATCTTACTAAGGAGTCTCATGTAAGCTATTATGATGCCTAAAATTCCTTTGTAAGTGAGATCATTTTTCTGTAATCCTTTAGATTTGTTGGAAATGAAGTCAACCACTTCTCAACCTTTTGAGCAGAACGCACTGGGAGCAGACCTGCTTACAAACAGGAACCACACGCTGTCTCAGCTCTTAGCTCACCATGTAGAAGGCCTCCAACCGCACTGCATACACTATTTGCAAGGCTCTCATGTAGATCGTGTACAAGACTTCAGGCTACAACAGAAAAACAACTGTCAATGTCTCAGGCAGGAGCTGCGCCATTGCCATCCTCACCATCAAATGCTGCGGTCCAAGAAAAGGAGAGAAAATCACCCACTTTCCCTCAAAATACCTCACAATTCCTCCAAATTCTAAGACACCTTATGTTACACAATAATTTGTCTTGTTAGCCGGGCGGTGGTGGCGCACGCCTTTAATCCCAGCACTTGGGAGGCAGAGGCAGGCGGATCTCTGTGAGTTCGAGACCAGCCTGGTCTACATGAGCTAGTTCCAGGACAGGCTCCAAAACCAGAGAAACCCTGTCTCGAAAAACAAAAACAAACAAAAAAAAATTGTTCTTGTGTAGTGAATAAACAAGGAAATTGGTTACTTATGAATGAGAGTAATTTTATCCAAATCCAACCCAATCAATTCACCCAGCCCAGACAGGAAAGACGGGTGGGTCTTCCAGGACTCTGCCAGGGATGTGGAAATGCTGGAAACCTCAAGATTTTATTTTGGCCAGGCGGTGGTGGCACACGCCTTTAATCCCAGCACTCGGGAGGCAGAGGCAGGAGGATCTCTGTGAGTTCGAGACCAGCCTGGTCTACAATAGCTAGTTCCAGGACAGGCTCCAAAGCCATAGAGAAACCCTGTCTCAAAAAACCAAAAAAAAAAAAAAAAAAAAAAGATTTTATTTTCACGTTTTGAAGAAAGATCATTCAGACTAGCCCACTGTTACAGCCAGAAGGTTACCTCAGATTTCAGTTTAGCTGCAATGCTTGGAATAATGGAGAAATAGCAAGATTTAGAAACCTTTTCTTCTATGTTAGTAGATTCCCAAATGCAGGCACGAGAATCTGTTTGCTCTTCTGTATTCAGGTTTATTAGGGGAACAGAAAGCCTGAAACATGGTGAGAACGTGGCAGTGCTCACCTAAAGCTACATGACTCACCTCAAAGACCAATCATTTGCTCTGAGGCCATTCTTCCCATTTTAAAAAACCAAAAAAGACTGAGATAAACAATTTTGCATTCAATATGATAAAATAAACCTTCCCATATTATAACTTCAAGGCCAACACAGGGAACTGGAGGGAGATTTGGGATTTTGCTGTGACACATAAACAGCTCATTTTTGCATTTAATAACCAAACATATAAAGAATAACACCTGTCAGAATAAGTCAATTTCCACCTGGGGCATAATGTAAGAAAATTAATCTGTGTGTTTCCAAAGAAGACTGTTTTTAAGCATGCGTGTGTAGGAAGCTACTTGGAATAAATTCTGTCAAGGTCTCCAATAAATGATACCCTCATACCATCACTCCAGTAATATAAAAATTTAATATACTTTAATATATCTATGGTTTAAAGCTTTTTTTTTTAAGGAAAACAACTGTATTAAAGTACTGAGTTCCCACTGGGCCTGTAGAAGTTGCCCCACATATAAACTTAATGTTATTTTAAAATTACACCAGGTGAGAAATTTTTCTCGAGATTAAAAATGACTGGCCTACAACAAATATGAGGGCACCCGCCTTCCTTCCCACACTACAGACCTAGCAGCTACTTTATTCTTAAATATCAGTATCTCCGTGTAAAGAGAGACACATTTTACCTTAGGGATTGGATGAAGATCATTCTTGGAGAAGTTCTTGCCATCAGCTCCTGTTAGTAATTTATTGCGGATATGATCCACAATCTCAGCTGCACTGTATCTGGGGAAGGACAAAGTTTCCATGATGGGAGTCTCCTCCTAGTGAGAAAGAAGAAAAAAAAAAAAAAAAACGAAGATCAGAAATATGTATAATGAATAGTCCTTATCATCTAGAAATTGATACATAGGAAAAAAATGAACAAGCTGTGGCTGAACTGTTCATAGTAGTATGATCATCAAATATGGGAATAAGGCAAAGAATTTTAAGCCAGGCATGGTAATGCATCCTGGTGACCCCCAACACTAGGAGATGGAGACAGGAGGATCAGAAATTCAATGTAAGAACTACATGTAAAACTCAAAGTCAACCTGACTCTGTCCTGTCTCAAAACAGAACAAGATGAATTTTATTCACACATACATACAAACACACACTGAAAGAAAGGTGATGTTTTATCCTAAAATAATTTTTATCACAAAGTAATAAGTCATTTTTTGCCAATATTTCTAATGTCTTATTCCATAAGGAAGAGAGGCTTTTGACACACAGGAGGAAAATCATGTTGTTTTCTTTTTACACAAGGGCCAGAGCATTTAACAAGATGCTGAGAACTTTTTCTCAAAGCACAAGACAGACAGACAGCAGCAGCTAGATATAAGCAATACTAACACAAGACAGGAAACAAAGCTGCATTTTGATTTGATATCCTACTCAAACACACACAGTAAGAAGACTAATAAGATTTAAGATGCAAGCAGGGGTGAGAGCTGGGGCAGAGCGAAGGGAAGACGTAGAGGGAGAGCAGGAAAGAGAGGTTTTAATTTAAGGCAGGAATCCCTTTCACCAAAGCAAGAACTCAAAACACATAAAACAGCAAAAACCTATTTGTCCTAATGTGTGCAGATAATAGATTATTCCTACCGGTGTCCTCTTAAAATAGTATTTGTCATAATTCTGTCTCCCTTACACATCCCAGAGCACAGCTGGCAATGCTTGGGGATATTTTCAGTTGTCAGGACAAGAATGCAATGGCTAGGGGCCAGGCATTCTTTCAAATACCCTACAATGCTTCAGGTGGTCTCTCACTGTAGAGCTGTCTGTCCAAAGGACACTACTTCCCAGCGTGAGCAGAGACCCAAAGCAAACAGATTCAATTTTGCAAACAAACTGAAATGGTTTACAAGTTTTGAAATCTACTTTAGGCTCTCACTGTTTCATAACAATTATGGCTTAAAAAGAGGCCCCAGCAATTTGCCTCTCCTCCCAGTGAATGGAGGAAGCTCCAACAATTACCTCTCCTCCCAGTAAATGGAGGATGCCACCCCAAAACACAGCTGTTAAATAACGCCCTGGCTCTCAACCCTTCAAAACACCAGAGAGCGCAGGAACTCTAAAGGTTATTCCCTTTCACTCTAGTGTGTCCCTAATAAGTAGAAGACACTTGCTCATGCTACTGAGAAAGCTGCTGCAACCTCAATAGGATACACTGATCCCTATTTACAGGACATTTCTCCCAAAACTGGAAGGAAAGCTGTGATGTCCCTTCTAGGCCTTCTCCGCTACACAATTAAAGACTACTTCCTTACATGTGGCCACTACTTTATGAGACTATTTTTTGGAAACCTTACCATTTTTGAGAGAGAAGAATACATCTTTTTCCCACTCCTTCAACAAAAGTCAGTACAGATTTGTTCCTAAAATGGGACTGGTTTTTGGCAAGTATCAAGCAGGCAGATATTAATTATGTAGTGGACAGCACTAGGCGTCTGATCATAAAGTTCTGACACTACTTCCAGGTCAATAAGATCACAACCCACAGATTGAGGTGTTGACCCCCACACTGTTCCCCACTGACACGATGGTCACAAGACCAGGCTGTTTTCCTTATGCTTCTGACAGTATACTACACACTGTTCCCCACTGACACGATGGTCACAAGACCAGGCTGTTTTACTTATGCTTCTGACAGTATACTACACACTGGAGTTCCTACCATGCCCTCCTTGGGCAACCAGTGCCACGTATAAGGGAGGAACTTGGAAACAAAATTAGAGACTGCCTCTGGTCCACATGGACCCACACACATACAAACATAGACTAACACAAGGGAAGAATTGACAAAATAATATTTCAGGGGTAATTTAAATAGGATAGTATGATAGTATGAAGAGGCCCAGGAACCACCAAGTGTCTGGCTGTCCCAGAATTTCTCAAAATCAGCTCTTGGGGGTTTTCATAAAAGTTTTATCATGTATGTATGATTGATTTTATCAATGCCAGCAACTTCCAGTCTCTCCCTTCCCCAGGATCAGGGGACAGGGGCTGAATGTCCTAATCCTATAGGATTGCCTTAGTTTTCTGGTAAACCACCCCTCACTCCCATCCTGCCACCCTACTCCCACCCCTACCCCCTTGCTCAAGGACCAGAGTCTACCAGGCAACAGCTAACTATTAACTTACAAAAGTTCACTTATCACTGTGATGATTCCAAGCATTTTGGTATCTGTGCTCCAAGAACTTTGGACAAAATGTATATTTCATACTATCATACTGTCCTATTTAAACAACCCCTGAAATATTATTTTGTCAGTATCTTCCCTTGTGTTAGTCTATGTTTGTATGTGTGCGGGTCCATGTGGACCAGAGACAGTCTCTAATTTTGTCCCTCCGGTGCCGCCCACCTTTACTTATTTCGATGTGCTATTTATTTATTTAAAGATATGGCCTCACAGGCCTAGAAGATCCCAATAGGCTAGGCTGACTAAGCACCAGACATTTGCCTGTCTCTCTCCACAATGTTGAGAACCAATGGACCACACGCAGAACTTCAAAAAAAGAAATATGTAGGTTCTAGGGGTTGACTCTGGTCCTGCCTTTCCTAATTGAGCTATTTCCCCAGACAGTGAATATCTTCTGAAAAGTTAATACCAAAAGGATTCAACACTCCAGAACCAGTCAGTCTAGGGCAGAGTATTAATACAGCAAGGAACCACCTCGACTGACTGTGGGTAACGGTAGCACTCATGTAGAAATGCATTACGATCCAGTGAAAGACACTCAAAGGGCCTCTGCATGGCCCACGTACACGAGTCTGGATCCCCCCTGCACTCTTCTTACATCAGTATTTGAACTTTAAGCTATTTTCATTTCTACTACTGAATTTCATAATTGTAACCTTTTTTTTTTTTCAGAGATAGGATCATCTCAAGTCTGGATTTGGGCCTTTCACACATTAGTCATCTATTTCAGTATAAATTATAAATGTATGGGGCAGTAAATTATCCTACCCCAAGTATAGTTGTTTGGTGTGTTTCAAAAAACTACAGACCGCTGCAGATTCAGGAAAGGCTCAGCAAGGTCCTTTTGTAGAAAGACATTTTTAGATGTTTCCATTCGAAATGTGTAGATGGCGGCAGAGGCTTCTCCACAGTACAGCTCCTTCTCTGCAGAGGAAAGTACTGTGCATAAGAAAAGGCTGTATTTCTGATCCCTGCCCAGTTACAGATCACTACAGGTGGCAACGACATGGGAGAGTTCATCGGTAGAACAAGGCAGCCTTCATTCACTGTGTACCTCCTCTGGCCACGTTCCAAAACCCCAGTCACTCCCTTTCCCTACAGAAGCCCAAGCCCCTATCCCCTGACTAATCTCTTTATAATCATCTAGTCCAGGCCTCCTTTGTGTTTAGGCATATATTAGATTCCGGGGGTTTTCTCTCAATATCCTGAGGTCAGTTTATTTCATGGTTTAAAATGATGCTTTCAGAGGGGGAAAAAGTAAATAAAACATTAAATATTTTTCACCTAAGTCTCAGTTTTTTAAAGTGCTCATAAAAACATTACAAAGAGGGTACTCGCTAAAGCAAGCCACACCTAGATTAGGAATTTTAACACTGGAGTGGGTATAAAATGTCTTCCTGATTATTAGCACACCCCTCTGCTGATGCTCTTTATATACACTGCCACGGGGTTAACCCTTATAAGACATCAAACCCTATTTATATACACTGCCACGGGGTTAACCCTTATAAGACATCAAACCCTATTTATATACACTGCCACGGAGTTAACCCTTATAAGACATCAAACCCTATTTATATACACTGCCACGGGGTTAACCCTTATAAGACATCAAACCCTATTTATATACACTGCCACGGGGTTAACCCTTATAAGACATCAAACCCTATTTATATACACTGCCACGGGGTTAACCCTTATAAGACATCAAACCCTCGCAAATGTGCAATCAGATTTCAATCTTTCCCGCTGAAGTTTCTAAAGCCTTTAATAATCTAATGCTCTTTCTGGTACAAGTCAATCCCTTCAAGACTTCCCCTAAACTTCCAATGTCTCATTATACCTGCCTGGGAACTTCTGAATTCCCTACCAAGAGGCTTACACATGCAATTAGTGGGTATAATAACCTCTTCTCATATCCAAATCCTCAGCCTTTCATAGTACAATTTTAGTTCCAACTCATTCGTGTGTATGTGTGTGTGTGTGTGTGTGTGTGTGTGCGTGTTCAGATAGAGGAAGAGGCCTTTAATTTGACCTCTTAGCTCAGACTAAAGTACTTTATATATTATTAAAATGACTGACATGTTAGCTCAAATAGGACAGATTATCTCTAATGGCTGTGTCTCCTTTATTTATAACACTACAATGCTAAACACAGCGTGTACTGGAATAACAAATCTTATACATCTAGTTTTGCAACGCAAAACTAAGCAAGCAATTCCCAATTTTAATGAAGTAAATAAGAAACTTCCTCAAAACCACGGGGTGGGCATTGTGTTATACACGAGTAGAGCCATATACACGCAGCTCCCTAATTTTTGGATTAAGAATGACGTTTTGCCTTTTGATTCATGGTTCTGGGTGCAATCAAGAGATGGTAGAGCAACGAAGATACAGAACAAACTGGCAAGCATTCACAACGAAACAAGTCCCACTGGTACCACTCTTGTGGCTCACGCCTGTAATTTTAGCAGTTGGAGGTGGAAGCGATAGGATCAGGAGTTCAAGATCAGCCTCAGGTACATAGTGGGTTCTAAGCCAACCGGGGATACATTACAGCCTGTCTCAAATCAACACACATAAGCTTAAGTCAGCGAACCCAGGCGCCCCGACCCTAGACTTCCTGGCCGCCCTCCTGCGCCCGCTCGCACTTACCAGCCTTCCTTCCCAGCAGGTCTCAGAACAGCAGATACAAAACAAGCAACCAACCAAAAACACCGACCGTTGCCACTTTTCAAATCAGCCGCCTTCCCATAAGAGGCCCGCCCCTTTCCGCAGAGCACGCTTCCGTGACGACGGGTACCCGGAGGGCCCAGAAGACCCGCGGTGGGTGGGGCTTGATGTGCGGCGCAGTTTGGCCCCAGGCCGGCGGAACCATTATTCAGGAAGTTAGCTTCTAGTCGGAACTGCGACGCCAACGGACGGGATGGTGTGCAGCAGCTAGGGGGCGTAGTTCCGGGCGGTGTTTACGCGGTTGTTAGTGACTTCTTCCGAAACTTTATCGCCAGGGTCCTGGTTAGCGAGCAGACGGTTTCCGGCCCCTCTAGCAGGATCAGGGAGTGACAGTCGGTAAAGGATGTTTTGTTGTCAACCGAATCAAAAGCATTGTTGAGAATCCTGGTGATTGTTGAGTGTCACTATCGGATAAGCATTGATGGGGTCAGGTTCTGCCTTGGGTATTTGTACACATCCTTTCACTTAAGATTCATGAAAGCTTGGCCTGGGAGTGCGAGTGGATGGATTGCTATTTTGTCTTAGAACGCTCTACGTTAAATAGATTGCGTAAGTGACCCAAAGCCGCCCACCGTAGTTCAAAAGTAGTCTAGCTGGAATTTGGGTACAGTCCTCTGTAAGCCACACTTGGAGAGATAGGAGGTACCCAATCGATAGTTCATCTGAACAGCTCGTCCCTCACATTTAAGAACACTGCTCTGGCCTGGCGGTGGTGGCGCACGCCTTTAATCCCAGCACTCGGGAGGCAGAGGCAGGCGGATCTCTGTGAGTTCGAGGCCCCTGGGGCCAGGCACCACAAGTGCTTTCTACAGACCAACATAACAGTCCTGCCTGCTTCATAGAGTAACATTACGATTCAGGGAGTTATTTCATAGAGTATGTTAAATAAAGTGTCTGGCAAAATTGAGTGCCCAGCAAGTATTTGTGCATGATTTGTAGTAAAAGAAAACAAACAAACAAAAAAAAAAAAACGAAAACAACAACAAAAAACCCACCACAATGGTAAGTGCTCAAACTATTTAAACCATTTATGTGTCCAAACAGGAAACAAATGAACTATACGAAGATCAAGAGTAGAAAGACTATATAAAGACTATATTGTCTTTCTCAGAAGAAAACGGAGATGAATGTGTGGACAAAGCTATTTGAGGGATAATTTTTACTATATGTTTAGCAGTTGGTAGTATGTTAGAATTTAAATTTGTTAATAAAACTAATGGTTTGTTCAAATTTCTTAATTACAAGAATAAAACTTATTTTTTTTCAAAAGTTAGTTACCTAATACTGGCTCTTTAAAAAAAAATGTGTGTGCATACTCACTCGCGCGTGCCAATGACTGTGTGCAGGCACATGTACATGAGCATACGTAGGGCAGAAGAAAACCTTGAGTGACATCCTTGGAGACACCATCTACTTTCTTTGAGGTAGGTTCTCTAATTGGCCTGCAGCTCACCAATCAGACCAAACTGCACCACCAGTGAGTGCTAGGAGTGCCTACCTTCCCCTCCCCAGTGCTGGCATTTCAAGTGTGCACCCCTCCCTGGCTGAGCACTGCTGAACTAAAGCAGGCGTCAAGCTTGGGAAGCCCATTTTACCTTACTGACTGAACTCTCTGCAGACGAATGCTTGTCTTTCCTGACTCAGCTTTAGCTGCAAAACCTTGCAGCTCTTTTAAGAGGTCCTGCCACGAAACACTTAAACAGTGTTGATGAAAAGCCGAACACATGTTTTTTGGTTTTCAGCTGTAGCAGGAAAAAAGCTGCACCACTTTAAAATGCCGGCTTCCTGGGCCATCCTGCTAGTGCAAACTCTGACTCTTTGAGGCAGAAGGTCAGCTACAGAGAGAGCATTTGAGTGTTATAGTTTGCTTGCAGGCAAGGACCTTGAAACACCATAGAGTTGTGGCAATAAACGTGGCTACAGCTCAGTCCAATGCTCCAATGTGGGCTCTGTCTCTATCTCCATCCATCGCCAGATGAAGGTTCTATGGTGATATGCAAGATATTCATCAGTGTGGCTATAGGATAGGACCAGTTCAGGCGCCCTCTCCTCAGCTGCTCAAGGAACAAGCTGGCGACATCTATTTGGACACCTGGGAACCCCTCTAGAGTCAAGTCTCTTGCCAACCCTAAAATGGCTCCCTTAATTAAGATATATACTTCCCTGCTCCCATATCCACCCTTCCTCCATTCCAACCATCCTATTCCCACAAGCTCTCCCCATCCCCCCCTTCTCACTTCTCTCTCCCCATCTTCCCTTACCCCCACCCCACCCCCACCCTCAAGCTCCCAACTTTTGCCTGGCAATCTAGTCTACTTCCAATATCCAGGAGGATAACTACATGTTTTTCTTTGGGTTCACCTTCTTATTTAGCTTCTCTAGGATCACGAATTATAGGCTCAATATCCTTTATTTATGGCTAGAATCCACTAATGAGTGAGTACATATCATATTCATCTTAAGAACAATTTAACAAAATCCTTTTCCCCTTTTTATTTATTGTGTGTATGTAGGTCAGAGAACAGCTTTCAAAAGTTGCTTCTCTCTTTCCGCTGTGTGAGTTCCAGGGAAGAAAAAGAATCATAGGGTTTAATTAAGTGCCTTTACCCAGTAAGCCATCTTCTCAGCCCAAGAGCCTTTTTTTAAAACATGGTGCCTCTAACAGAAGAAAGAAATAGCCTTAAGACATGTTTAAAAAATAAGTGTACTTTGATTCTTTTTGCCCTCCCCATGTGTTCACATTTTCTATGAGGAATAAAGAATGACAAAAATATCCCATTCAGTTTTTACAATCTGAAAGCAATATCCCAAAATTTGATATTCAGTAGGATGTTGCAATACTGTCTGCTCATATCAGTATTTTGACTATGTCACATTGTGGCTGATATATAAATTCTGTGGTGGTATCTTTGATAACCTCATTCAGTTTACTCATGAATCATGAATAATATTTACTGTTGCCTTAAAAATGATGACCATCCATGAATAGTGGTCTGAAGTGAATTTTTAAACATACATTTTAGAGCCGGGTGGCGGTGGTGCACGCCTTTAATATCAGCACTTGAGAGGCAGAGGCAGGTGGATCTCTGTGTGTTCGAGACCAGCCTGGTTTACAAGAGTTAGTTCCAGGACAGGCCCCAAAGCTACAGAGAAACCCTGTCTCGAAAAAAAAAATCATTTTAAATTAAGGATATCTAACAGAAACCTTTAAATTACTCATTATGAAGAAACAATGAATATAGGGATATATACAAAAGCATGAACATGCAGGAATATGATTCCACACTTGGCAAACATCTCATATGAGAGAAATCACTGGTGCATCTCACCAGTGAGCTGTTTGTGTCTTGCTGCCATTACAGGTAACACAGAAAATACAGAAATCTTTATTCTTGAGTGTCCTAATATACTTTGAGTATATTTACTAGTTGATTTTGAATTAAATAGGTAAGATGTGTAATTGTTTGTTATATTCTTGAATTAGCATTATAGAGCATAAATTCACATAAATAGCTGAAGCATAGCTACACTACAAATACAGCACAATTTAACATGAAAATTTTCAGTAGCATATTTGTGTGGTCAGTATACCCGCTGGGTGGCGCTGCTGTATTGATTTTAACCTTACTGAGCCTTCCATTCCAGTTCATTTTAAATAGCAATCAGAACTACAGTGATAAACATCGGACACAATGTTCTGCATTAAAAAAATAGATTCTAAATTTATAGGCTTTAAAGTACATGTTTAGCGTCCCGGCTCAAGAAATAAAGTGGCATTGAATTCAGAGTGGTGTCTGCATTTTATTTTACTTTAATCATTCCAAGCTTCGTAACCTGCTTGCCTCTTCAGCCATGTTCATTTTTATTGGAGGTTTTGGAAATAGAGCTATACATTTGAATCGCTTTAGGCAGTGTTTGTTTTCAGGATGAAGTAGTCTAGAGCTGTAAAACACCCAGCCTTTGCTGCTCATGATGAACTCTGAATAAATGTAAGGAAGCACAGATCTGACATTGTGCTCTATCCTCAACTTTCACATGAAGTTATATTACTTTAATGTAGTTAATAAGGGACCCTTCTGAATCAGCAGTCAAACAGATTTGATATGGTGAAAAATGCTTGCTCAATATGATTATTAATTCAAACTTTCTATTCTGGTAAATTTCCAACTTTGAATATGTGATAGTCTGTAGTGTTTACATTATCTCAAGGGAGCTGACATTGATTTCTGAGGAAAATTCTAAAAATTAATGTATTCTGCCAGCTGTGGTGGTTCTTGCCTTTAATTTCAGTACTCTGCAGGGAGAGATAGTCAGATCTCTATGAGTTTGAGGCCAGCCTGGTCTTCGTAGTATCAGCCTGGTCTACATAGTGAGTTCCAAACCAACCAGAGCTATACAGTGAGAATCCCGCTCAAAACAAAAAAGAATAAAAATCAATATATTCTAATTTTAAAGTTAGTTATTTATGTCAGAAGTAGTTCTTATGTCCACAGTCCTAGCACCCAGAAGGCAGAAGCAGGGGGGATCTTTACAAGTTTGAGGTTAACCTGCTCAACAGCAAGTGCCAGGAGACCCGGTCTCAAAGTAACAATAATAGAGTAATCAATTATTATGTAAATTTCACAAGTGTGCCTTATCTGGCCTCTTACAGCTAGGGTATATTGTATACCTATAAATTTTGTACTCAAAAGCAACAGAAATCTATTTCTTACTGCTTATATAGTCTCTTAGTCCTGAAAGCGAGACAGTTAAAGGTCAACAGGCCAGGGAATCCAGTGTCTGGTGTGGGCTGCTTCCTGACTTATAGTTGGCCCTTGGTAGGGGTGTGATTACACAATGGAAGGGTCTTCCCATTCTTCTCAATAATGAAGGCTTTACTCTCAGGAGGTGATTGTATTTCAAAAGACCCATCTCCAGCTCTGCAAACACCAAGTTCTAGGCTGGGTATGGAGCATTTGGGAGGCAAAGGCAGGAGGAATGGGACATTAGGGTCAACCGATTGTACCC